GTGTGGGGAGTGTGGGAAGAGCTTCATACACAGCTCCAGCCTGATCAAACATCAGAGGTCCCACACTGTGGAACGGCCTTACGAGTGTGCGGAGTGTGGGAAGAGCTTCAGCAGCAGCTCCAGCCTGATGGAGCACCAGAGGATCCACACTGGGGAAAGTCCTTTCGAGTGTTCCATGTGTGGGATCAGCTTCAGGCAGAGGTCCAAGCTGATCCAACACAAGAGGACCCACACTGGGGAGAGGCCCTACGAGTGTGATAAATGCAGGAAGAGGTTTAAGACCAGCTCCCATCTCCTCCGGCACTATCAGACTCACACAGAGGAGAGGCCCTTCCACTGCCCTGATTGTGGGAAGGGATTCTGGCGGAACTCTGATATCATCAGCCACCAGCGCATCCACACTGGGGAGAGGCCCTACGAGTGTGATAAATGCAGGAAGGGGTATAAGACCAGCTCCCATCTAATCCAGCACTATCGGATTCACACGGAGGAGAGGCCCTTCCGCTGCCCTGACTGCGGGAAGGGATTCACGTACAAGGGCACCCTCGTCACCCACCGGCGCATCCACACTGGGGAACGGCCATACAAGTGTGGAGAGTGTGGGAAGAGATTCTCCCGGAGCTCTCACTTGACCCAACACCAACGGAGGCACCACTAAGGGAAGTCCTGCGAGTGCCCCGAGTGCGGGAAGAGCTTCGTGCGCTGCTCCAGCTCCATCCCCCACTGCAGGAGCCACGCTGGGCACAGCCCTGGTGACCCACATTGCCTGTGATCCATGCTGGGAGCACACCTGGCTGCTTCTCCTTTTGGTTTGGCCTTAATGTTTTTATCTTCTAGTTTTTTATCTTCTCCTTCTCTTTGCACTCCAGAAACCTAAAGGGTTTCTGTAATCTGCAACTGCAAAACCACTCACATCGCACTGAAAACAGCTCCATCTTACCAGAAAAGAGCTCAATCCGACCTGGAAAAAACGCAATCCTGCGCTCAACCCTCTGGATTCCACAGCCACCAGAGTAAGATGGGATTCAGAGGCGATTGACAGAAGTGGGACCCGAATTTGGAACACTGGGATGGGAATTGTTTGGGTCTGGGTGTGTGGGATGTATTTGATAGCAAATAAAACTCTCGGACTTACTGCTTTCTTTTCCGTTCATTGTCAGTCCCTTGCAGTTCTGTTTGCAGAGTGCCGCCTCCCCGAGTGTCCTCTCACAGTTCCTTAGCCTGAGCCGGCCCCTTTCCCCTCACGGTTCCCTCTGTTTCCTTGCCCCCTTTCCCCTCACGGTTCCGCCCTTTCCTTGCCCCCTTTCCCCTCACGGTTCC